CAGAAGTTACAGTAAGTAAAAATATGAGTTTCTGGGGATCCCACTTCCTTCCGTACGAGCAGATCGCGGCGCAGCTGGTGGGAGGGTGTGGAAACAGTTTCTATCGTGGCAGCTCGGGAGTGATTGCCGGCGCAAGAATCTGTCCCGTTTTCCAAGAGAAGCCAACCCGTACCCTGCCGCTAAAAAGCTGGAGCAGCTTTTTGTTATCGTTTTTTTGTTTTTTTTTTCCGTCACTCCCCCCTTTCCTCCGTTGATCGGCCACCCTCCCACATTATTGCGCCGCGATGCCTGTAGAAGGGCCATTCGTTTCGGAGTTGTGGGATGCGATTTTCCTTTCACAGTCCGATATGAGCGGGCCCGACTTTTCGGTTTCTTTTAGGTTCTCTTAGGCTCGGACCCCACCAGCTGGCGGCTGGAAAAGAAGAGAGGGCCTGACTTTTCGGTTTCTTTTAGGGTCTCTTAGGCTCGGACCCCACCGGCCGGCGGCTGGAAAAGAAGTGAGGCCACGAAAAGAGGGCAAGTCATTTGGGAAAGTTGGAAAGTACATTTTCCAGGACCCCACTGCCGAGGACCAATTGCTCTTGGAAAACCCTTTGCAAATCAGTTCAGCCAATAGTTGCCTTTTTCCGTTGGCACTCTCTTGTTTTGATCTTTTTTCCAGTTTTTTTTGTTGTTTTTTTGTGGCCCTCTTCATCGCTATTGGCTGCTGCCTCCCATGGGAACACAAACCTTGTCCCCAATGCCAACGGCTGGCGCTTTGCCCTCCCTACCCTGTTGGAGGGCATTTTGGAAAAGAGCGCCGGCCGCGGGCGGAGACTTTTCCATCTGCCAGCCATGTAGAAACACGGCTGGCGGTGTTTTGGAAAAGGTGGTGGGGTCTGAAATAGATGTCGGTAGACCTCTGGAAACTTTCCTGGCGGCCCGGTGGGGTCCGAAAACGCCCTTCCATGCCAAAACTTTTCCAGCTGCTGGGCGGTGGGGTCCGAGCCTTACGTTTGAAGTACTGTGGGATCAGTAGCTTATCTGTGGCAGACTGGCGGCCGGTCATTGTGATTCTGCGAGCAACTACAAGCCCATTCTGCAACTACGAGCGTACAGCCCGGGTCTGCTTTTCAACAGGTCATTGCTGTGCCAACCACGCTTCAGTCTTCCCCCGAATAGCTGAATTTAGACAAAGATACACCAAATTCAGCTATAATGACCGTATGTTGTATTTGGGGAAAGATTGTACGGCCATTGGTACATGTGTTCCGCTGGGGCGTTGACCAAAATTACACCAGCGCACCACGACTCTTGCTCGCCAGCCGTCTTTCCTTCTGCACGACAACGCGGCGATGCAGTATTTCTGTTTTACTCAGATGTTTACACTAGCATGGACTTGGGACCCCGCGGCGCGCCACACCACTCTTGAAAACGTGTTTTCGAGTCTCTGCACCGCCGGCGCGCCGCACAGCCTCTTGAAAGTGTTAGCCCAAAAATTTGTTCAAGAGGTGGCAGAAATGGGTTTCAAGAGTTCCTCTTGAAATGCCCAATTGGCCAGCCTCCAAAACTAAGGGCCTCGCCACACCAGTGTCGAAACCGTGAAATATTCGACAACTGTCAGACCATTTTCGACATTCACCGTTTCGACATTCACCGTTTCGACATTCACTGTTTCGACACAATGGAGACCATTTTCGACATTCACCGTTTCGACACAATGGCCGCGTTCGCCACAAAGAAGACACCGGAGCTTGAGGCATAGATGTCCAAATCAACACATCCTTCAACACCTTGTCTCCGTGATGTCGAAACTCTACCAGCTGCAGGCGGGCCATTCGACACCCATGTTGGAAACCACTTTTCTGACGATTGTCAAAGTGCTTGCGACATTTTTTTTTCAACAGTCTGTGTGGCGAAGAAAAAATGTCGAAAACTGTAGTTTCGACATTGGTGTGGCCAGGCCCTAAACGTTTCAACCGTGCCGGACAGACTTGAAGGAGCCTCAATTTTCAGGAGGTGTGAGGCGCACCTCTCAACAAACAACAAAAACAAATAAGTCTCTTTTATGCGTCACGTCCATGAGAGCCCCACTTTCAAGAGTGCTGTGTTGAAAATGTATGACAGCTCTTGAAACCTTTCATCTTTTCAAGAGTGGTGTGACCAGCCCCTTGGTATTGGGCCTCGCTGCACTACCCTAGGAATGTGCAAAACGAGAGTGAATCTTCCGCTAGAATATGGAAAGATACAGGGCCATGATTTTTGTCTTTTGTGCATGTCGAGAGTGGTGCAGCGAGGCCCGTTGTCAAATATCAGAATGTTCATCTGCTCAGATTGGAGGAAAGCGAACAGAGCCTGAAACAGGAGGAGGAATGCTAGGAGCAACTTCTTCAGAACCTGCGGAGCTAAGATCAGAAGCTCAAATCCACGGCTCGGGGGTTCTGCATCGAGCCCTGGTTGATGGGTCCGAGACAGCCTTGAGAAAGTAGTCTGAGTACCCCCCCTTGAAAAAAAAAATAGTCTGAGTACCCCGCCTTGAAAGAGTAGTCTGAGTACCCCTCGTAACGCAGTGTTTCAGTAAGGCTACTTGTATGGATCCCTTGCGTGGACTCGGTGTTAGAAGTAATTTTGACTTTAAAAAAAAAAGAAAAAAGAAAAAAGAAGTAATTTTGACTTGTTGAACTTCGACACTCAGCATTTCAGGCCCTTAAGGGGTCTACCTATAGCTTCGGCAGGACTACCCTTCTTCCCCCAATACAACGTACGGTCATTATATAGCTGTATTTGGGGTATCTTTCAGTCTAAATACAGCTATAATGACCGTACGTTGTATTCGGGGGAAGAAGGTAGGTTACCGATCTGTTCTGGCGCAGTTAGGTGAAGAGGCCCTGCAGGTGGCTGGGTAGCTGGGTAGCTGGGTAGACAGATTGGGCAGCACCTTCTCCTGTTGTTCGGCTTATATGAATTCGTGAAAGGGACGCTGGACCCAATTTCCGGCTGGTGTTGCTCCCCACGAATAGATCGGAGCCATCGGCCCAAGACCTGTTTCTCAAATCAACCTACAACAACATCACTCCAAACAACCTACACAAGATCTCACTGATAACCACCTGCAAATGAATCGTCCAAAGCAAGGACTCCGATGTAATGTCATGTATTAAGGAGCTCAGGTAAGACAAAGAATCATCAAAGAATTGAACATGGATCCGAGAGAGTTCCAAGGCATAAACTGGCAAAAGGAGAGTAAGGGCAAACCAGCATGCTTCTGTTGTTTGCAGTGGCAGATTATACATAGATGTCGTCTGCCAACAAGGGATTGGTTGATCAGACGTGATTGGAAGGAAATTTACTGAAGGGCATTCTACCTCCTCCGTTGTGCAAAATATGTTTCGAAGCAAGCCCAAAGAGAAGACGGATCACGGAAACAAAATAGAAAACCTCTTTACGTACTCACCAGAGTCACTACTTTACGCTGAGGCTGATACCCTTCATTGATGCTTCTATTATTTGTCAATTGGCCAACTCTTAGCTTTCATAAGGGACTCTGGGCCCGTTTCCCAGCACGTGCTGCTGGCCATGGATAGACTGGAGGTGTACTTTCCGGAGAAAAAGAAAAGAAAAAAGAAAAAAAAGAAGAAGAGAAACGGTTGAGTTAATTTTCCAAAAGCGGAACAGAGAAACAAAGAACATTAACAACAGGGCCAATCACAGTAGATGGATGGATAATGGATTGATTGATAGGTTACCCCAACTGGAAAATAATAACAACTGAAAAGAGCAGGGAAGCTGACAAGGACAATGAACTTCCTGTCAAACCACAACTGATAGGGGTAATATCCCGAAGCGATCGAGAATGCGAAGCACAGCAGCGCGCGATGAGATATCCAAGGAGCCAATCGTCCGACCGACCCACGGACTCCTCAAGGACCATCTGCGTTCAAGGAATATCTTAGAACGACAAGCACAGTCTCCGATAAAAGAAACGATTTATTAACCCCGTAGCATAGCCTGTCTGTACATGATCTGTTAATGCATAAGAATAACTCAGCTGTTCCAAATATGATTCCTATTTCCGATCTTGCACTCCCTAGCACCAGCAAACAGAGATCCCGTCCGACCACTCCCATCCCGTCTCCCCCCTACTCCCCTCCCCCCCTCCTTCCTCTCTTGCCCCCCCTCCGCTTCCTACATCACCCGAATGTCTACTAGATATCGCCTGCGCGAAGGAGGAAGGCCTCGGTTGAAATGATGTTCGAAGTTTATTTCAATTTTTAACCCAATTGTGTCGCATAAGCAGCGACCTGCACGGATGGTGTAACGACTGCCCCGCTGTCTCCAACATGGACTCAGTGAAATTGAATTCTCCGTGAAGATGCGGAGTCCCAGCAGCTAGACAGTAATATTCATTTGAAAACATCGAATGCAATTTAAGATGACGAGTTCGGTTCCAAAAGAACAAAAGCCCGCGGCCTTGCTCGTGTCCAAACAGCAGGCCTTTGTTCCAGCTCACCGATGAGACCATCGGCGGCGAGAAGAAGAAGAAGAAATGCGGATGACGAACTGCGGATCTGCCAGTCTGCCTGCCTACCACCGATGAAGCAGCCCGTCGAGAAAAAAAGCCGACGACCATCCTACTACCTCCCCGTCCTACCCCGTTTCTCTTTCTCTCCTAGCACAAGCGAAAGCAACCGGCTCTCGCCGCCGAAATCACCATTCTGCCACCGCCAGATGTAGGTGCACATTGACAGCAGAAGGAAGAAACAAGGTTGAAGTTTGCTGCAACCTGAACGATGAGGAGGAGGGTACGAGAGAAAATTCTTGTCGCGCATCGATGGTACTACAGTAACTCGACACGCGGTAGACTTATACTAAGGAACAGGGATCATACAATGTAACATGAAACGAGAGCTTCAATGTAAAACCTTCTTGAAGGACAGGAGAAGAAAGGAAGCACACTGCGAAGAGGTAAAGGAGGAAGGAAGGACGTCCTCAAGAGTTAAGACTACGACTTACGACTTCCGAAGGCTTGCCACAGCGTCCGCAAGCTGCCACCAGATTTGCTAAGAACTGTCCCCCGCTAAGCCTCAGCGGAGTAGACCCCCGCCGAGATCAGCGGAGACCGCCTGACAACGACGAGGGAGTTGTCGTCTGTGCCTGGCTGGAAGACGGTGGAGCTGCAACAGGCGGCCTTGACGTCGGAGGCCGCGGGGCGGCGTTTGACCTTGAGGTGTGAGGCCGCGAAGACGTGGTAGATGGAGGAGGACGACTCCTCAAAGGCGCTGCAGATGGAGGAGGACGACTCGTCAAAGGCGCTGTAGATGGAGGAGGACGACTCGTCAAAGGCGCTGTAGATGGAGGAGGAAGACTCGTAAAAGGCGCTGTAGATGGAGGAGGAAGACTCGTCGTGAATTCGAATATGAGACCATGCGTAGTGCCGACGAGCAGCTTGCCCTCCGCCTCATTGAGCGCCAGTCCCCTGAAGCCCGCCGTATCATGCTCGGCCAGCTTCTCGACATCGGAGGGAGTGCCGCAAGGCGCGGACATGGTTAAGTGGTACAGCTCGCCCCACAAGGTAGTGAAGAAGACGTTCAAGCCGTCCGACGTCACAGCCAGGTCGCTCGGATGGCCTCCCATTGACACGTTAACGACGTTCGACCCGAAAGGGACCGAGGTGTCGTCGCTGCTCACCGCGATAGGCTTGACTTCGTTAGACAGAGGAGCAAACGTCCACAGTCTGTCGTACACCTGATCGACGAAGTAGAGGCAGCTGCCGTCGGCGCTGAAACTGTACGGCCCGATCACCGGCTGGCTCATGTTCGTGCCCGTCAGCGGTCCGAACTGTACGGCTCTGTTCATTCCCAGGCGGGTGGGAACATCTGGAGCGATGACTGGGGCCACTAAGATCTCCGACGGATCGTATACGTCGGTGACGTACAGCTTCGTCTTCTCCGGATTGAACGTCAATCCAGCCGCCAACTCCGCCTGTATCGGTAGGGACAACCGCGACCCATCCGCGATGCTCAGCAAGACGACCCACGACAGATCACTGGGACCCGCGCTCAACGTCGTCAGCAGCAGATGCGTTCCCATCTTCGACATCTCCGTGCCGGTCGCCTCAGCCATGAATGGCATGCCCTGGTTAGGCAGGAACAGCGTATTATTCTCCGGCGGCGCACCGTTCGGGCTCTGCGCGGGCCACCAGTGGCTGAGGACTCGAGTGGTTGCTAGGCCGCTGACGCTCGTGAGGTTGGCCTCCATGTACGATAACGATTTCTTCGAGAATTGCCCATCTGGCCCCAAGCATTCTTGCTGCAGGATATAATAGAACTGCATCCCGTCTGCGGCGTAGACGATGTTCTGGATGACGACGACGCAGTTGTCGGTGCCAAAAGGACTATCCTGGAATAGCGGATCCGGCTGGTGTTCCACGACCGTTCTACAGGCTGTCAACAGGAAAGGGTTGTTCAGAGGCGGGCACTCGGATTCCGCGGCACCCAATACCCCCTGCAACCCCCTCTCCCTGAACTCCCTCACACTCCATCCCCCACGACCATCCCCACCCCGCAGCGCCGCCCGCTTCCCATAGCGGAGGCGCTCCGAGCGGGACGTCTCCCTTCCCGCCCCACGGCCATCCACACTGTATGGGCGGGCGCAACACACTACTACCTGCAGTAGCAAAGAGACCGCCAAAACTTGCGACACCTTCACCTTCTTCATAGCGATCGGACCACAAAATGAGATAACTACCTTTAGTACGAGATGGAAAAAACTAAGGTCAAAACTAAGGTCCAACTCTTGAACCACGTAGAAGGGTCGAAAAGAAAAGAGGAAAAAGAGGAACTGAATTAGCTGTGACTACTGCTACACAGATTGAGCCAGCACCCCCTGTCTCCTCTGACTCAGCAAAGCTCTGTCGAGTCTGAACATCACGGAAGCCGCGCCAAAGGCGATGGCGATGGCGATGGCTGTCGCGCTCACTTCCCCGCACCCTGCTCAGCTGACCTAGTCAGTCATCGACTGTGCCTCTCCTGAGGGGCCTTGGAACATATTTCTACTCCGCGCAAGCTTCGGACTTCTGCTTCCCGTCCGAGGAACCCTCTGCCGCGACACTCGGCGTGCTCGCAGCCCGATGGCTGCGTTTCTCCTGGCAGCCGGCTTGTCGTGTAGTGCTGGAACGGAAAGTTCAGGACCCCCCCAAGGCTGTACAGCGCAGCGATAAATAAATCAGAGCCTCTGCCGATACAGGCTGGGAGCTGAGGGGGAACCAAGAAAAAAGAGGGGAATCTGCGCGCGGGTCACAAAAATCAGTTTGCACTCTATGGGCCAAGATACAGTTTCGAATTGCAGTTCGGGCAATGTATACAACCCACCTTTCTGGCCAGGTAGGCTGCCCCAAGTGCAATGGCAAACTGTATCTTGCCCCATAGTGCAATTCTAACTCGTTTCTGTTGACTCCGCTGAAGTTACCCCCTTGTATCGGAGCCGGGTCGCTTGGCCGGTCTAGAGCGTTGTGCTGCCGGTAAAGCCTCGCGTTTCACAAATTACCGGCGTTTGGTCTCGAGCTTTGCCCTGCCGGTAAATCCTGCTGTTTCCCGTATCAAAAATTACCGGCGTTAGGTCTGGAGCTTTGCCCTGCCGGTAACTCCTGCTGTTTCGTGTGTCACAAAAATTACCGGCGTTAGGTCTCGAGCTTTGCGCTGCCGGTAACTCCTGCTGTTTCGCGTATCACAAATTACCGGCGTTACCCGACTGCCCTGTGCTCCCAAGCCTGAACAGGGAGGAACTGCCATAGCCGCCCTTACCGAAGTAAGGTAAAATTCACCTTTGCAAGGTGAATCGAGCAAGGCAGGTGGGTAACTCTGTGGGAAGTCCGAAGTAGTCGATGTAATGAGAACGAATGATTGTCGCGGATGCGCCTGAGGCGTCTGCTTGGATACGGCTACCGGAATGACCGTGCAAGGGAGGTACACTGGTGCAGTCGTCGAGCACTGCACAAGACCTGATTCCTGTGAACGTAAACCTGCATCCTCTCGCGAATCAGATTTCGGATGCGTCCTAACCTCTTCAAACGTACACAGGTACTAACTTTGGCTAAATGCAGAATCTGCATCTCCCTTTGTAAACGGGCTGGGAACATTAGACTTGTTAGGGCCTGGTACAATTCGATTGCAAGTAAACTCTACTGCCAGTACTCAGTGTGTATCTACCTGTCTTCTCATAGGAAATAATACTATTCGAATCCAATCCTTGTTCCTTTACAACCCTCTTCCCTACAACATCTTACCCGTTCCTGTCATGCCACCTTCCTTACATGAGCCCTACTGCTTATCCCCACTGACCTTCTCCAGCGACTCTCACGCTGGAACTGTAGCATACATCTAAGTAGTATTACCTAATCGCCTCCCCCACTATTGAAATACTGCTCTAGGATGGGCCGAAAGAATGAACACTGAAACGAGCGAAAGATCTCCATAGCTCAACACCTTAGGGTCAGGCAGGACAACCACTTGGATTCTGACTGGTTGCTCCCCCCCACCCCTGCGCGTTTGCGCAAAGGCAACGTCACTGAGGACCTCTGAGGTCACCCCACACTCACTGAGCGGGTAGATAATAAAGCCCAACCACACGGAGACTCTAATCGTTACCAAAATGGGCGAACTTAGGAAATGGTAAGGAAGCAATCGTAAAGTCTCCCCTCACAGAAGCGTAATTAGACTACTTACGGCGAGCACACACCTAGATTACATTGTCAAGATCGGTGCTGCCACCACTCTACGTTCAAGTTTAATTACGAAACGCAGATTATACATTCTTTCAATAAAATCATTGCAGGAATCGTTGAACTTCCGTTGTGTACATACTCGATTAATTCTTACGCATTATCATTGTTCACTAAGTAACGAGTTCACTCCCTATTATTGCTTTACCATAGACTAAGTTACTGTGTTGCCTGCCCCTACTTCCTCGGAAGTTGGGAACCATGATTAGGAAGTGCCACGGCCCACGGGTCAATCTCGCTGCAGATCAGTACCGGACCGTGGATCAACATGAGGAGTACAGCATGGAGGATAGAACACCATGAGGAGTACATCATGGGGGATAGAGCTAAACCTCGGGAACAGGGCGGGACATCAGATATGCAGCAAGCACTGGACCAGTGCTTCAAAACGGGTATCTTGCCCAGGAATCTGAAGATGGGAGATATCTCAGAAGAAGAAGAGGAAGAAGACACGCCGGAAATGGATGTGGAAGACGAAGTGGATCAGCACACGGTTCAATGGTTGAAGGAACATGATGTGGTGATTGCTCTTGTTCCCAAAGAGGAGGATCCGATCCCACTCAAACTCAGGAGACAATTGATTAGGGTCTATGAGGCTCGGTGGGTGAAAGAAAATAATGAAACATTTGTCATGCAACCGGGGACCCTACGAAACGAAGGAGCAAACATGATCTCATATATCCCAGCAAAGAACGAAATTGCGCAATACTCTATCAAGAAAGGGTCTGCAAAGATCCCACTGGTAGACCAGAAGAAGACTGAGTACCTGGCCTTCTTTTCTAAATGGGAAACTAGGAAAGAACTGGAGGAAAAGAAGAAGAAAGAGAAAGACTGCAAGTTTTGGCTGATGGGACTGAGAGTCCAGTGGCGCATGGTCCCACAGATGCGTACTTTTGTGGGAGGGGTAACTTCAGTACAGTCACAAAAATGAGTTAGAATTGCACTATGGGGCAAGATACAGTTTGCAATTGCACTTGGGGCAGCCTACCTGGCCAGAAAGCTGGGTTGTATACATTGCCCGAACTGCAATAATGGGAGGGAAATTTCTTTTAGGAACTGGGTCTACCAGCGCCTTCCTCTGAGGTTCCCGTCGCACCCACTGGTTCAGTTATTGGGTCTGGTCTAGTTTTCATCGGTGTATTGTGTTCAGAAGGGAGGGGGGGTGGCGGGGGGGAAGGGGATCGGGATGGGGTGGGAGAAGGGGAACAGGAGGAAGTGGGGGTGGGGTTGGGGGTGGAGACTTTTTCGGAGGAGTTGTGAGAGGGCATGGGAGGGGGAGGGCCAGCCACCCAGGCACTCCATTTCAATTTCGTTCAAAAAATAAAATATGTCCATTTTGATGAAATAGCAGTTCCCTCTTCGAGAACTGTCTTTTCGCGGGATCAAGGCCCAGAGAGGCTTGAAATTCACCAGCCAATCAGGATGCACGAAAACAGTCCAGTGCGGAAAGTCCTTGCAGCCCCGCGTGAGGAAGGTTCAGCAAGAGTAATGAATGTCAAGGTAATGCGGAGCACAGAGATCCTCTCTAACTCCGTAACAACCAGAACAGAGGGACAAAAGACAGAGGGAGCAGTAGCACTACCCCCATGGCACAAGCTGCAGAGGTCACAGGCATCACCTCAGAAACAGCTCGTCATGGAACAGTCGCTAGTACTCGCTACTGCCACTGTTGCGATGGTAAACTCTGTTACTCCTGCTGTTAAAGTATCCACAGGTAGGCGAACAAATCAGTGACACCATATATTATGGCATATAAACAGCGCAAGATGGGACATGGGGTAGAGGAGAAAGAGTGTAAGGAAGTCACAGATTCCTCCCCGAGTGCCCGGAGCTCTGAAGAAAAATCCCAGCGCAGAAACAGAAATTGGGCCATACAGACTTCTCTGAGCCAAATGCGCAGAGCCAGCATAGCAGCAAAATGCCAGCAAGGGCATGCAGGCTCCCACTGCTGAGCAAAAACCAGAAAATAGTACGGTTTATAAAACCTTACAAAGTGATAACAAAGACAAAGTCTTGAGAAGAATCATGCCTGTCATCTGTGTTTCTACCCTTGCAGACATCATCCTTTGCCTCGCGATCGATGTGGGACAGGGTCTGAAGGCCCTACCAATCCTTCCATCAGACGCATATACAATGTGAGGTGCAAACTCAAGTAAATTTTCTCTGATAAACCAGCGATCTTCACTCGGGTCTTGATAGGCGAATATTACTTTATATTGTCGCTGGGGTCTGCCTCTTCGTCCGGTTTGGAAAGTGCTCTCAGCAATAATTTTATCCACGTCATATTTCCCATCCATACTAGGAGGTATCGCCGATCTGCGACTGGGAAACAATTCATTTGCCACGCAAGGTAAAAGCTTTGAGGCATGAAATACCGGATATGTATGCAAATGTAGAGGAATCTCAACTACATAAGAAGGTCCACCTACCTCTCCAATCACATCAAGAATTTGCCAAGGTCCTCTATAGGCAGGTAGTAACTTCTGAGAAATGTTCTCCTTTGGAGCAAACTCTTTGGACTTAACCCACACTAGATCACCTACAACGAATTGAGATGGTCTTTTATGCTTATTTGCTTGTTCCAGCATTTGATGTTGTGCCTTTACTTTATTTTCCTTTCCCTTTTTAATATATCGCTGATATTGTATTGCAAACTCATTTCTCCCTAGAGGAAGCTTATGTATTTGATCCGGATTTAAGCGATCAATGGGACTACGTGGTCGCAATCCCAAATGCAGTTTCATCGGAGTGTTGCATGTAGAGAGGTGAACAAAGTTGTTATAGGCACTAGCAACTTTGTGCAAATGTTCATCCCAGTCAATCTGGTCGGGACGGATGTACATGCGCAATGTTTGCTGCAAAATCTTATTCATTTGCTTCATCTGACCGTTTGTCTCAGGGTGTTTACCTGATGACATAGTTAACTTAGAGTCATAGACATTCATGAGTTGTTGCCATTGTTCACTCGTGAAACGTGAATCTCTGTCACTCACAATCGTCAAGGGATGTCCATAATCCTTACCCAATGGTTAAAGAACTCTCGGATTATTAATTCGGTCTTTGCTTCCGCTGGTAATTCTACGAATACAGCATACTTACTAAATTTG